AAGAGCAGGCAAAGATGCAGTTGCTAGAGTTCTTATTTTCAATTTCTTGATTTTGTACGAATAGGAAATGGAAATTGTTTAATAAATGGCAAAAATATTGATAATTTAAATATTTGTATTGCAAATTTATTTATTTAATTAAATTGTTAACAATCTAATATGTATATTATTTTTTATTATATCATATAGATAAATAGAGTGACCTATCAAGTCTAATAGATTTCTTTATAAGCTTAACCCAACCTTTCAAAATAAATAGGTATTTTTTTAAAAAACATAAACCTGACTTTTTTATTAAATAGGTCGGGCCAAGCCAAACTTTAAACAGACCAATCCATAGGTCCCTGTTTAAGGTCTTGCCTATTTCCATCTCTATATACATCCAAAAAAAATTGGCACAGTATCAATTTTTTGGTAGAAACAGCATCTGAATATTACTATTAAGTTGAGTTTAGACTTGTGAATTGTATAATTAAGGATCCAAGGAAAGCAATTCAATTTAACAACTTTAAAAATTGGCACGAGAATTTGTGATTCAATTCACAATATGACAAGCAAATTAAAGGATAAATACATTAAGTTGGGTAGAAACACAGTGGTAATTTTCAGCAATGCATACCACAAAATAATAAATACTTATATGACTTCAACACTACCAGTTAAAGTACTAAGACAGACAAACAGGAAAAAGAATAAAATAAACCAAGTTTTAAGAATGTGCATTTACCTCAATAATCAGGTTCTTTGACTCAAAATCTGAAAGAGAATTAACGTAAAAGTTCATTAGTTTCTCAAGGACAGAGTTTTTGATATATATTGTGGCATCGTCATCTGAGTTCAGCCCTGCATACACTAGCCTAAGGATCCAAGACCTTTTTGCTTTGAAATTGACAGAGGTACTCCCGAAAAAGTTATCAAACATAGGTATAACCTACAAAATTGAAGCAAATGAAACATAAAAAAAAAAAATTAAAAATTACTTTTCAATGGAAAAAAGAAAAATTCTTGTATAACATGTAAAAAAAAATAGAATTCAAAAAATAATGAAAAAAAATCAAGGCTGTAGATATATACCCTCATATCCAACATAGAAGAATTCATCAAAAAATCTGTTATAGCCGCATAATGATCATGTGACGGATCTAACAATACACAAGATGCCTCTGCTGCAAATAAAGAAATAACTGATGGGATTCTTTGCCATGGATCTTTTATACTATTTTGAACAACAGAATTTAATAGAAGCTGAAGTCCCATTTCATCCTTCTTCTCTTGGCACTTCTGTAAGACATTTCAATTGTTAATCAACCATAATCTTTCAACAAGGAATAGATGCATATATACACACATACAGGAAAGCAATAATGAATGTGATATAATACTTGAATTCCACAGATCCTATCCAAAATGCTTTTGTGTTGTCTAATGAAAATAATGCTTCATTAAAGAGCACTCAAGCCTACATATTAGCGCTTGGAAAAATCGCAAGCCCAATAATACAATAAAAAATCATTTTGGCCCTGTCTTGCCACAAGTTAGGGCTTCTAGGAATGTTTTAGAGACTTCCACAAGCTCACTCAGTCTCGTAAGATCCTCTAGCTAAACTTCCCCAACAGGCTTGCCTTTTGGACAAAATAAAAAGAAACAGAAAAGTTGTCTAATCTCTTTGCATATCAATAATTAAAGTTTTCCTCCTATAACATCATAAACAAAACAACAAAGAGACACTATATACATGACCCAATCCCAAAGCAGATGTAAAAGGAATAAAACACCCATAAAAATAATGCCATTTTCATCTCACCAATTAACCAAATACAGTAATAGACCAAAAAAATCACAAAAAACAGTGACAATTATTTGGCATCCTTGTTCTTGCCAAAACCTTAGAAATAAATCATGAGAAACTGCCCCAGGGAAAAAATGAATACTCAACATACCAAATACAAAAGGTACACAAATACTTGGCATCCTAGTTCTAACCAAAACATTTGAAATGAATCATGACACACTGCCCTGGGGAAAGTGAACAGTCAACATACCATTTAAGAAGTAGGTCTCCATATGGGAGAAAAAAAAAGTTTCAACGATTTACAAATAAATAAATGACTAATTCAAACTTTGAGCATATGGAAAAAAGTAAATCAGAAATTGCCATAAAGAAAATTTATATGATAACAAAATAAGCATAAACTGATAATAAACCCATTTCCAACCTCTAATACATTCTTAAATTTATAAAGAGTGTCCGAAGCTAATATTCTAATTCCATGGTCTGGTGAAGACATGCTAACAAATGCAATTGCAAGCAACCCTGACCCAGCAAACTCCACAGGATCTATATAGGCCTTTGAGAGGCTATGAATCGAAAATCGCAATATAAATACTGGATCATATTGTTCTCTATCTTCAACATGAGAAGAATGTACCTGTATAGGATTTTAAGTAGTTAGCTAAAATAATGTCAAGAAAACTAGAATACAGACAGGAAACCTAGATTTGGGCAGGTAACTAAAAAACATGCTTCAACCTTTTTCCCGACAGTATCCGGTTCATGTTCAATCTTGTTCGCATATGGTACCTCATCAGAGATACATCTATCATAGGGGAAATAGAGAACTGTTGACACGCATATGTCAGGGTCAATAGGAATGTTGTCTCTATGCTGGCTTATGTACCACTCTTCAATTGTTTCTGAACCTAACTTGACATTCTGAGACCAAAGGCCACCCATAGACTCAATTTGTTGCATCAGATTGCATATCGCCAAATCAATCCAGTTGAGTGTTGCGCCATAAGAATGACAAAGCAGTGCATGAAGTTCTTTTAAATTTATGTCAATGTCATTTCCATGATCTGAATCAGTTTGACGAGCCTTTATACATAAGAGTGCCCAAAGCAATTTAACAATTTCCAATGGTCCTCTAGAGATCTCAGTTGTTTGCTCTACATGTTTCTCCTCATTTTCACACTGATCAAGAGAAGGAATCACAACACATTTCAGAATGCTAGATACAGGCTTCAAAAAGGAACCTGCTAGTTTGCGCACTGAATGGAGAGTCGGGGCAAACTGTGAATGGGAAAGCAACAACTGAAGATATAAATCACATAATATCCTCCCCTCACTAAGCTGTGATAATATAACCCGGAGGGTTTTCATTGTTGCAAAATCACCAAACCTATAGAGAAGAGCAGATCTGATTAACTGCTCAAGGAAGGAAATGGATTTCAATTGAATAAGATCATCATGCATCTCTACAGCCAATTCATGAATACCCTTCAACAAAAAACCTTCCAAGTGATTATATAGCAATGAAATGTTTGTGCCTTTTGCAGATCTAGATTGATCAGAGGCTAATGAAAATTTCTTGACGATTAACTGCCAAATGTCCACCAAAATATTTATGAACCGTATCCTGGATGTTCCCAATTTGATTTGAATTTTCCCGGAAATATCCTTCAAATTCCCACCTGCTTCATCATAAAACAATAATATTCTACAAAGTGATATCTTTGCAACAACACGATTGATGATGTTCAAAGACTGACACATAGAATAACTATCAATAACTTGACTATCACAGTCCATCAGGTCATCATGTGTAGCAAATTTTGGGCAAATGGATTTGAATAAATTTAATCGCTTTTTCAGTTTCATTGAACCCCCATTAAGAGCAAAGTGATACTTCAACATATGAATTGATTTCCCAAGAAGACTACAATCAATAAGACAAAGAAGTTCTTGAACAGATGATGGAAAGAACTCTCCATATTGTTCCTCAAATATATCTTTTGAGGAAAAGCTCTTCCACTGACTGAAACCTTTTAAGAGAATTATTGAATAAAAGCAAGGTATATGTTTAAAATCTTTACGACTCAGCTCCCCAAGTCTCTTAGAAATTAAGCTCAAGTATGACAATGCGGCCGGTAGAAGCAACACAAACTGATCTTCTGAAGGAGTGATATCAAAGGGATGTCCCACCACACCAATATCATTATGTAAACTTCTATTCACTGTACCCAAAAATAAATGCCCAAAGATTGTTGAATGCAGGGAACTCAATTCAGTAAGAATATGTAAAAATTTAGCTTTCTTCACATTTGTCTTAAAAATGCAATGGGAAATCATTTTCAATGGAGTAATCATTATAATTTTCCACATGACCAACAGCAAAGGATGAAAAGTTTCTTGTTGCATATGTTTCTGCTTATACAAGGAATTGACAGCTTCAAGCAGGCATCTATCGGCACTATCCATTTCAAAACTTACAGAAAACTCAACTACCTTGCTGTAAATCTGCTCAAAAATATCAGCTTTCATATGCTTTTCACCCATTTCCCAAAATAAATCATATGGTGCCCTGTTTCCCGTTGACTGCTGAAAATAAATGGATAAAGCACTGAAAGCATCTGCAGCTAAGGAACATCCAACAAATAAAGAGGATTTCCTAATTGGCAAATCATCTACATCAACACTACTGAACATCCAATCCACTAACTCAAGGAGCTGAAAAGGGGATACAAACCGATGCAAAGTATGTAATGCATACAATGTTGGAAGGAGAGGCATAAAATCTTTACTACAAATGCACAGCTCAAATCTTACTCTGACATCCAGAAATAGTTTTTGTTGAAGGTCTTGAAAAGCCTTCACAAAATTATCAGCAACATCTTCAGCTTTTGAACAAATGTGAGTACCAAATAAAGACCACGTGTAGTCTAGAGTCATTGTTAATAATTTTAAAATTGGATTGCCAAATTTGTGAAACCCCTCACTGGATAGTAAATTTAGCATATTGAAATCATTCTTTACATATCCATTTAAATTGTTCTGACAATTTCCCAAAGATGAGGATAATGACATCAAAACACAAGGATGACAAAAAATGGTTTTAATCACTTCTTGGCTGTTATGTCTTGATGAACAAAAGGCAGAGTTCTTAGACCCGTGAGAATCATTTTCTGAAACCAACAATCGACCTAACAAGTTCCCTACAAGAATAATACAGAGATTCAAAAGTTGTTCAATTTCAGCTATTGGCCTGAATTCATAACATAACTGAATCTGATGAGTCCAGAACAGCACGAGTTGCAGATTGGGAAGGAGAGAGCAATCATTTATGGACTCAGATAATTTATGCAGTAAAAGCATTTGTATTTTAGATAGCTTTGATGTTTTAAGACTATTCATACACATCATTGCAGGAAATACCACATGGAAAGGTGCATGTTTTAGAAAGATACTAAATGCAACAGCATCAGCTTCAGACGCATCTAAAAGTTGGCCACAAGTTAGAGAGTCCAGGTTCAATGCAAGATCAGAAGTCCCAACAGGAGCTGCATTTCGACCATCACTGCCAAGATCTGAGATGGCCATATCCAAGGCAACATAAAACATTACAGTCCATAACTTGGAAGCATGGAGAAGAACACTATAATCAAGAAAAGGTACCGATAATAAGAGCGGGAAAGGAACTTCAACTAAGTCACGTGAAATGACCACTTGTGATGGCAGATTTGTCAATATTTTATCAGTATCTTCCAATATAATGGAGGATATGAAAGCTATGGTTGTTTCCGCAATCTCATGGCCAGACCCACTATTCAATAATCTATTTACACTACCAAGCGCACTTCCCAAAGAACAATCAGGAGGGACAGATTCTTCATTTTTAGAGAAGAAGCAACTATTCCGTTGGTATGATGTGCTCTCCACAAAGTCCAATAAATCCTTCAAGGGCTTCCACTCAGAAAAAACTTCATCACATTCATAACTGCCACCAAATCTCTCTGTCAAGTCTGCATGAACTAAAGCAGATAACAATTCAGCATTGACCTAGCAAAAACAAAGATCTAACATTAGATGTGCACAAACTGCAAACAAATTTAAGAAAAAAATGTGCAATGATGCATTATGTACCTGTGTTTGCAAACGATACTTGACTGTATTGCAAGTGTATAATAATACCATTGATTTTTTAGGCAACGAGCAGGATCCTGATTTAGGTCGGATCACCTTTAGACACTTCTCCAACACACATATGATAAAAGGGCTAAAATGAGGTGATGAATCTGAAATTAAAACCACTAAATCAACAATAGAGCCAAAACTTTCTCCACAATTTTGGCAACATCAAAAAGAAATGACAAAAAGACAGGACCATTACTGGATACTAAAAAAATAAGCTTATGCATTATACATATCATAATTCTACAGAAATATACTGATCATTTTAATTTATGAAGCCAGATAAAAAATTAATGCAGCAGAAAAAAAAAAGAGAAAAAAAAAAAAAAGGAAAAGCAGCATATGATATAAGTGATTTTAGCTTTAACTGTATACTAAGAATTAAAATATGAGAATATAGCTAATCACCTTTACAACCTTCCAAACAATGGACATAACTCATGAGAATATTCCAATATTTAACTAAATTATTCCCCAGTGTAGAAACAGCATCACACAAGAATGATATGACAAATAGAGTCAAACTCTGTAGTACATCAACCTCCAAGATTTTGACAGGGGATTTCTTTCTGTGATAACCAGGTAAAAATAAAAACCATGCTTCTATCTCGTGAAGGTTACTGTCAAAAGCACCAGTACTGAACATAGCTGCCCATGCCAACCTGTATGCCAGATCCCTTGTTTCATTGTATGGTGAAAACATTAACAATTTAATGAATGGTTGTAGGTATTTGTACAACATGGGTGGAGTTCTCATAGGAATTTCATCGTCAGGACACCAATCAATGTATTCCACAAGCAAAGATAACAATGAAACCTGCAGATGACTTGTTAATTCTAACGGATTTTTTAGAAGACCCTTGAAAGTTTCAAAAGAATTATCCAAAGTCAAAGGCAGAGCACGCTGCACAAGAAAAACAGAAAAGGAATATAAGATAATATCATATATATTTGAATTATTTAGAAGAAAAAAAAGTATGAATTTCTATTAAAATAAAAGTAACAGTTACACTAGATTTCCTTTTCTTCAATAGGATGGTTCAGCAAGAAGCAGATCCATTAGTTAGGGAGACATGACATCCTTAGATGTAACAACTAACAAGTACAGTTCACACAACAGATGAGATTTTACTTTAAACTCAATTCACATTCAACTATTTTGCTACATCTTAATATCTGACTGATCTGCTGTATAATGCATTTGGTGCTTATTAGACTTTCCCATAACAAAGGCAAAGAAAGAGTAACTTCTAAAATAACTGCAGAATTATATTTTGAGAGTAAATTCAATCCCAAAAATATAATTTCATATAGACATTTTGTCGTCAAGCGATAAACACAACAAGGAAAAAGAGAAAATAATTCCAACCCATACCTAGTTTAAACCATAAGTTTTTATGCTGATTTTTTTTTTTCTGAATCAAATCAATCATTGTCAAACACACAAAGATGTATAACAAAGCTTTGTTCAAATAAACAATTACATTTAAACAAATGATGCACCAAGAAAGGTTATAATACAGTGAGCAAACACTAGAATATAAAAAGCCATTTAAGAGAACAAACCCATCATAGGAGACTTTTATGTTTTAAGAACAAAATGCATTTACAATTACATATCCTTAATTTAGTAAATCCAACAACATAGTATCCCAGACACTAACCAAAATACCAAAATGCTAAACAAACAGAAATATGTCTAAAGGAACTAAGTAATAAAATTATTCAATTGAAGTATTTAACTTTTCTATTTTTTTTGTTTGATCACGATATATTTTCCTATTAATTTAATTTTTAAGTATTAGTGTCACCCAATGGCTTATACAAAATAAGATTTTATAAAATTGAACTTACACGGTAATATCTGATGGCGTCAAGCAATTTAGACAGTAAGTATGATTCCATGTCTTTCAATGTGCTAATATCCATGGAACGAAGATCCACTCCCCAAATTTTCCCTATGCTATTAATGAAATCCTCTTCATCATCCAAATCATCTGCTCTTAGCTCACTATTAATATCTGGAATAGAACTTATCCCAACAACAACTATATTTATATCACTCTCAGAAGTATCCTTTTTTAGCTTCTTCCTACTACTGCTGTTATAATCATGCTGGCATGCATTTCTCTTTAAACTTGAGTTGCGAGCTTCAAAACTGGCATCTAAAGAAGAAAGTAGATTTAATAAAACCTGCAGATCAGGAAGAAAAGCTTGAACATAGTTCTGAATTTCTCCCTTGACAGACACCACATGTTGCATGAATGAATTGTTGGAACTAGAATTATCGTTCAAACCACCAAAAAGAGAGTCCAGTAATTTCAGCAACTCCAGAAGAAGCCTTAAAGTACCATGTTTCACATAAGGTTCAATGTGAGGCAGTCCCCTATTAAACAATGACCTGCTGAATGGCCGAGGAAACAAGCACTTCACAACACTTTGCAAATCCATATTGTCAAACAGGCGTGAATTATTTGACCTGAAATTGACAAATTCCTTGGAAAGGCCCTTACCCACTGACGAAACTAATTGAGCTGCCACAGATATTGCAGAAATCCTGCAAATACAATCAGTCACCATCCGAATAAACAGGGAGAATGAGAATGAAATGAAAAAGAGAAAAAAAAAAAAAAATACATACATACATATAAAAAAGAAAAGCTAGCAACACCGATTACATGGTTCAAGCCCATCAAGATCTCAACTAATCTCTACAACTATGGACAAATGGAGTCCTGAACCATGTAATAGTTTCCCCTCTTAACACAGTCTATATTATTAACAAAATCCCACGCTAGACCCTCCAATCTATGATTGGCCAATGGGTTGTTAGTTTTCATCTAATATTTCAAGAGAGTATTAAAGAGTGTGTCAAATATTGCATTCCTAACAACAACAACAACAAAAATAAAATCCACATAATGAATTCTAACCATGAAGAAGACTTATAATTCTCAATATTATAAGGAAACTCCTTCAAATACGACAACCCAAAAGACGCTTTGGCATCAACAATAGCGAAAAGCAAGTCCGAATGATACTGAACTTCAGTGACCCGCAGCTTCTTCATGAGCCCCAGAATCCTCCGCGGATTACCCTTCAACCGCATTTTCAAATCCGGCATCAAACCATTACTCGGATGGGTACAAACTCTAACAAGCACACCAAACGCCACGTCAGCAGCTTCACCACCACCCTCCCTTCCACAAACCTCAACCAACTGCTCCAACGCCGCACTCTGAAACAGCACACTCCGAAGCGCCGGAGACACCAACGACTCTCCAACCAAAACCCTATCCCTCAGCACCGACAACGCAAACACCACAGTCTCATCATCATCCTCCGCCAACTCTCTAAGAACGCGCGAATACATCTCCTTCTTGTTCAGAACGAAACGCAGCAGCCACGGCTTCCCGACCTCCAAAAACGACATCGCGAATCCAACCAACCACTTCCGCGGCAACGCTATCTTCGCCGCCGGCCTCGCAATCCTATCGAACTCGAACACCTTCGCCAGCTCCGACGCCAACCTCGCGCCGCGCCGCACTATCGAAGCGGAGAGCGACAGCGCCGCCTTCTGCCGCCGCGACTCCCGGCTCTCCACCTCCTTGTAAATGTCGTGCAAGTGTTTAGCGATGAGTAACTGCGCGAACTCGTCCAAGTATTTGGCTACGCTCACGCTTTCGGCGTCGCTGGCGACTTCTTTACCTTCACTGTGGCTGAGAATGGCGGAAATTAGGTCGAACACGTAGCGCATCCCTTTCTCTTCTTTTCGAAGCTTCAACGCTTCCAGAAGCTCCGAGCAGCTCCGGGAACCGCGCACGTACTCGCGGAGCAGGTCACCGCCGGTCTCGGACTTTAGAAGCCTCGCGAACTCTTTTGCGGCGTCGGAACATAGCTTTATCTCCGGCGAGGTGAGTCGGTGGAGGAGTTCTTTTAGTTTCGCTTCGTGGCTTACCTTCGCTTGGAAATTTGGAACCGCGGCGGATCCCTCCGCCATGGACACGGCGGTGGATGACGGCGGAGAGCGGAGGAGTGAGGGAGTTAGCGGCGCCACTTCGCACCGCCACCCAAGTCTAGTGTTGTGTGTAACTGTGTTGCGCTGAAACAACGGGCAAGGACGCAGGTTAAACTTTGAAGTTTTAAACGGCGTCGTTTTGAGTCGTGATTGAAAAATTCAAACAAATATATTCATCATCATCTAATACAAAAAAACTGAAAATATCATAATAACATATGTTTCTTTATGTATTATAATATAATATAATATATCATATATTATCCCTTCAAAAAAAAAAATATCATATATTATTATATCATAAAAATTATATTAATTATATTATTTTGTTTTAAAATAAACAAAATCTTAATAAAATTACTTCATTTTTATTTGAATTTTAATAATTCAATTATTAAGTTAATATAAAATTTAAATAGAGGGTATAATTTAAATCTACACGTTGAAATTTAAAACAATAACAATTTTTTTGAAATTTATTATGAAGGTTGTTAATGAATTTTAACCTGGATTTGGACCTTGTCGTGGTATAAATCAACATAATTTTTAGTATTTTAACGAATTAGGATCAAAAGCTCTTTGTCACAAGGTTCTATTTGTTCAAATCCATGATATCAATCTTATTGTGACAAACTTGCGGAATTCTGACACTTGGAATTTTTAACTTCTTGTTACACCGTTTCTTAATAAGGTGTGTAATTAAGTATTGATGTGCTTATACCTTCACACCCCATGGAGAATGATGTCATTGTTTAATATGATAATTACTAAGAGATCCACAGTCTCCTCGACTTATAATTGATACCTTTGCCAAATTGATGCTCCTCATCCTATTTGGAAGAGAATTTGGTGTATGGTTGCTCATGAGAAAAAATAGATTCTTCTTTTGGTAAGCCTATAAAGCTGCTTTACTAACCAATAACAAGTGTTATACTTGTAGTTTCTCCTCAAGCACAACATGTATTAGATGCTCTACCCAAGAAGAAAGTATTCCCCATACATTAAGGGATCGCCCCAACTCCAAAGAAGGTTGGTTTCAAATGGGGTTTACTTTATCTAGTATCTGGACTTGCTAGGATATCCAACAATGAATCACAACTACTTTGTTGTTCAAACCAACTTCTCTCATTCTTTCAATTGTTTGGTGTCTGTGGAAATGGCGCAACAATTTCGTCTTTGTAGAGAATAAGTGGAATATCCAATATGTTTGCACCATGATCCATCGTCCAAATATTGAGCTAGAATTGTATTTTTCAATGATGACTATACTATCTATTAAGGAATGGAAGTTATATGTAAAGTTAATTGTTGATGGCTCTTGACTAGCCCATAATACTATGGCTACGTCAAATTGTTGCTTCCACCAAGAACCTAATATTAGACAACCAAGGGAACCCAAAAACATCATTACAGAAGTAAACAACAATAAATGATTTGTGCTTTCTCACAAGCTCCTTAGCCTCCATCTACCTTTGGCATTAATAACCACTCTAATGTTCCAAGAAAGAATCTGCATCTTTGAAAAAAAAAATCTTTAGGGCAAAGGATTGGTCAACCAATCATTAGACCACATTAACCTCCAAGCATCTGGTCCTTAGTATCTCTACATTTTGCGTGTTCAAAACTAAATGCACTAAGTCAACCCAAGTATCTAGGGGGTTCCCATCCATATGCATGTGAGAATTTGTCGCCATACTAGGTTGTTAATGCTTAATTGAAGTTGGTTGTCGGATATAGATCATATAAAAAAATATAACCAATTTTTTTTGTTTGGGCAATCGGACATTTGTGGTAAGTTTTAGGTTTAATATTGTTATTTTAGCCATAAATCCAATAAATCTATGGTAATGTTAAGTGTATTTGATTAATATTAGTTGATACAAGTAGTAACAATTTGTGTATCTTAATTAAGATTGTCAAGGCTTCAATCTTGATTTTGAGTATGCAATAAGCTATATTGAAAATGAAATATTTATCTTATGTGTGCTCAGAGTCCCCAATGAAAATTAGTAACTATTTCTGACAATAGATATTTTGTACCAATATCATATTTACAAAAAAAAAATGTTAGGTGTATTAGGTATTTTAGAAAGGGAGTGTGTGAGAGTTGTTTATTTCAAAGAATAGACTGGATTCAATTAAACTACACTTATTTTATTATAACTAAAAAAAATATGCATAATCCCATGAATTACTTTTGTAGTGTTTAGCATTTTATCATCCAAATCCTTGATTTCACAAATTGCTACTAAAATTGCGAAATAGGCCCAATCGGGCTAGCCTAGCTTGGCTTGCATGAGCGACATGGTGTTTTAAGGTCAGTCTAACTTGGACTGAATAACATTTGAGCCTATTTTTTTTAGCCCAACATGGTCCATGTTAGGCCATTAGGCTAAATTGGTTCTAAAAAAATATAGATCCAAAGGTAAAAAAATTAAATTTGGTTTTTTGTAAATTGAAAACAAAAGAAATGTCCAGTGAACTAAATTGGCCTTAAACTATTAATAATTATTTAATATGGATGATGCGAAAGTTCTCCTTGACATTGAATGAGATTGAATGTCTCTGGATGAAGTACTAAGTAGAGATGAACTTGGTGTACTTGTTTGCTTTAATATATTAATCAAATAAATTACACAAATCATTTTTTAATTTATTCATTTTTTATTCATAATCATATGGATAAAGCCACCTATAATAGAAACTTATAAAATTTAACTCCATCTTAAGGTCAAGAATGCATCCAAATGCAAAACTAATACAATATTCAATACTTATCAAATTTGGTTTCACCCTTATTACCATATTTGTAGTCACCTGATCTTCACAACACAAATATTTATTCAATCACATGATCTAACTTCTATTACATAAGTTAGTCTTACTATATCTATTACTAACTATATTTTTTAAAAAAAAATTTATTGAACCAACTTACCAATTAGTCTAGCCTAAAGCCAAAGTCAAGCTAAATGGGTAAAACAAAAATGATTTATTTTTATTTAGGCCACTTTTTTTAAGACTCAACCTAAACTTGTTTATGGGGTGGCCAAGTTAAAATGGACAACACTAGTTGCTAATTTTGTCATTGAGGTAGGACCGTAGGGTTGGGATTTATTTATGTCCTTCAAGACTAGAGTAGTTGTCATCCGAGTATGACTAGGAATGACAACTTTGGGTTCTACCCAAATGCCTTTTTTTTATTCTTGCAGATAATTTTTGTGGGTTGATCATGATTGTTATATGCAAATGAAATCTTGCAATAAATTGTGGGTTATTGAGTTCGTAACAATAACAATATTCTTCTTTCCATCACTAGCTTCTTCTTCATGCATGCAATTATTCTTCGATAAAACATTAAATTTGTTTCCTTTTACTTCTTTACTATTACTTGATTTGATACACACATTATCCCCTAAATGCTGATATTTAGAAATTAAATTGGATTTTCCTTTTCTTAACTACTATCAACAATCTCCACTGGGAGGATATCATTAGTAACTGATAATTGAGATTTAGAAGATATTAACTTTGTCATTAACTCTATTTGACCTTGGGGACTATTGAACCTTAACCCACCATTGCAATTTGTTTCTCCACCACCAGAATATGGTAGTTTCTTGCCACATGACCATATCAACTGCACGAGGTGCAAAGCATATGAAAACCTTCATATATATCTTACATTGTATCATGTTTTGTTGAAGCAAAATTTACCTACCACTAGAATGCCTAGGTATATCTCGATACAAACACATGAAATAGCCTTATAGCACATTTAGAGTGTTTAGTTCCACCTTGATGACTTTACCTATGGCTAATGATATATTTAATAAGACACTTTCATCATAGGACACCATGTTTAAGCTAGGAAAATGGACCTAAATAAGTCTTTTATCCACTTTAGAACACATAGAAGTCTAACATCCATGAACAAATAATAATTAAAAATCATCCATGGATCTTCATCGATTACTTTTTTATGATCCTTGTCTATATCAAAACTAACCATGAAGTATCCATGAGTGATATGTATCAATTCAAATCCACCCTCCAATCTCCAAAGTGATCATAGCTTCTCCCATATGGTAAGGAAACCTTCATTCTTTTTGTTCCTACCGTAAATCCGTTGTCATCGTTAGAGTCACCGCATCCGAGGTATTGTCCACTTTGACTCGTTAGGCCGTCACGGTTTTGTCTTTTAAAAGGCGCCTCGGTGGGTTAAGGAGGGAGGGTGTTTATAAACTACCCTTAACCTCGACTCCTAAGTGATGTGGGACTTTTAGGCATACCGGAACAAGCCCCCAGTCGATGCTAAGGGCCAAGAGTGGCCTGGACCCTCCTTCTAGCACCAATGTTCCTACCGTAAATCTGCTGTCATCATTAGGGTCACCGCATCCGAGGTATTGTCCGCTTTGGCTCGTTAGGCCGTCATGGTTTTGTCCTTTAAAAGGCGCTTCGGTGGGTTAATGAGGAAGGGTGTTTATAAACTAGCCTTAACCTCGACTCCTAAGCGATATGAGACTTTTAGGCATACCGGAACATTTTGCAAAAAGCTTCACTGCAATGCTTTTCTTCCATGATTAGCATAGATAATCAAAAGCTTTAAGTTCTATGGAGAACTTAGGCAAGAAGTAATTTCCTCCCTCTAATTCATTATAACATCATTGATGAGGTTTCTTGGTGTTTTAGAGTTGGTCCGCTTCCCTGACACCTTATCCCTAAACGACATATTTGAAATACTACCTCTACAAGTCCACAACATCTTTGTTTTTAACTAATGGATAAATTAATTTAACTTATAAAAAAATTATTTCATTTTTTTCTTGTTTTTTTTTTCATGTAATAAGTGCTCATAGAGAAATTTTTTTACACATATTCTTAATCCACATTCTTGCAATTAAAATTTCTACTTTATAACATTTTTTTTTGGAACGGGCAAAATCTTTTGTGCTTCCTTGTTTTGTACCTAATGGCAAGTTCGAGTTAAAGTACATGCATGTATATATGAATGCTTCAAATAGAAATTTTATGTGTGTTGTGGTCGAATTAACAAAGGACACTGTGTATACCAATCCATCCACACATCACACATTAATTTCCCGTTGACATTAACTACAAAATTTCGATAAAAATGGGAGCAAATTTAAATTTATTTGCTCGGTGAACTTTCAAACAAACATTAATTGAGTTATTCAGCACACGTTTTTACTTGAAAATGTTTACAAGTCCAAGTAGCTACATACCATCGATTAGACAATCTCTTAGCAATTGGCCAAATCTCATAATGCAGTCACATACACCATAAATAATTATCAAGTTAATTTAGGACACAATAATTATTATTAACCTAGTCTAGGATAATTATAATATTAATTTTATATATAACATCTAATTGATTTAATTTTTTTATAAATTAAGAAACTCAAGCATATATATGTTACATAAACCAAAACCATCTATAAAGATCTTGTGATCTAAGACCATCTAATTATTTTTCCTCATACACTCCTTTGATTGAAGAAGTAATACCCGTCTCAAGTTAAATCTTATATCTTTAAAAAAAAAAAAAAAAGGTTGCATCTTATATTTTTACTATTCCTCTTACATCATATATTGTTATAAAATTTATATTGATTCTGTCGATAATTAATCTTCATTAAAAAAAACTTGATTGATTATCTCATTTTTAATAAGGATTTTTTTGTCAATCATATTTTTTTTACATATAAAATTTAGATTCAAGGTTTTATTTAAGAAAATTAAGTTTAATACTATCTGAATCAATGACTTAGTCAAAATAAAATATGATGGTACTTTTGAAAAGAAATTCGTAAAGATATTTATGTATTTTTATTTTCATTTTTTTCTTCTAAACCCTAGATATTTAATTTAAAAAAAACAATTTTATTTGAATCAAACAGTCCCTAATTCTCTCAAAAGGATTTTCCCAATTTTGCTGAATAAAAGTGTTTAGATTTTTTTTTTCTCCTATATATGCACACGGTTAAAATCCGAAAATCAAATATGACAACTGAAAAGCTAAACCACCTGATGATAACGAGACAACTAGCATTTGAAACATACAAAATAACACATACGTCATGTTGGATTGGAAGGATTTGATTGAAACAAAACAGGAATTTTATATAATCAATTAGTTTAATAGGCATGAATGTTTACTGTCATCAATCAATAAAATAATAATAATAAAGTTATATTAGGTACGACTTCATATAAAATTAGTTAATTACAGTAAAAAGTTAACAAAAACAATTTCAAGATGAAGAGTTAGAAGGAATAATTGGAAATCTAAAATCAAAATTGAGTATTAAGATTGATTAGAAATCAAAATCAGATTTGGAAAACACATGGTGATCAATAGCGTGTTTGTATGCATGTTGGAAACGTGGAAAACCACGTTTAACGTAGAAGCTATTAATACTTTCCCTTTCTTTCCCAAAGATTAGAAAATACTTAAAGAGTATAGCAGTTCCCAAGCTTTACAGCTAATTAAAGAAAACTTACTTATTAAAGTAAATTTGCTTTATCAAATCTGGATCGATATTGGTAACCCAACATTTCAAATCCAAACGCGCAATTAGGTATAAATTAATGAATAATTAACTCCACATATTCATGTCATCAATTAATCTAAATGCTTTTAGAATTTCAAATACCAAATTGTCAAAGCAAATCCCAAAGGGCACCCATGCCATAACCACTCAGCAAGGTGGAGCATATATGCACCAAATCACTCACTATAAGGAAAATAAAATCTCATGGTTAAGTTCTTAAAAGTTCTTAAAAGTTCAAGTCCTTCATTTTTCACACATAATTTGACATCCAAGAAACTCATACCACACAAGGGATCATGAAAAAAAAAAAGAATGAAAGGAAAGGAAAGGGAGAAGGGAAATTAATCAAATAATAACAAAGTCTCAAACTATAGCACAAAGGGTACTCCCTTATTGTTTTGTATGTACAAAGAACAAAAACTATAAGCAAGCACCCTTGTTTTTCCCTACATATATATATAAAATACAAGAATCATTAACCCTCAAGAACCCCAACCATGAACCATAAACCCTCTTGCATGATGAAAGCAACCATATAGGATTGACCCAATAAGCCAATTCTCTTTCTCATCTCTACCAACATATCTCACTCCATAACAGCGCATCCTAACCTAGAAATCATGAAGCTCAATTCACCTCGGGGATGCTCTGAAGTGCAGGCCTCCATGGTCTTTGGAGTGATTGGTACCCTCCACTATGGTTCATCAAGTGGGACAACACCTGCTCCACCCTCAACTCTCTCACATCCACTTTGCTAAGCAACTCCTCTAGTTGTTTTTTCGTGATCTTGATCTTCACCTCTGTTGTCGTCTTCTTAGCTGTGGTGACGACGATGTTGGTGGCGGCGAAAACACTCTCACCTCCCTGAAAACTCCAGTTTTCGCCGTCAGTGTCGTCGCCACCATCAACATACTTGGTGGATGATTGGTGCTTCAAGCAGTTTCCCATTTTGGGAGGGTTGAGTAGAGAGAGGGTTTGGGTTGGTTGAGTGAGGGGTGAGGGTGTTTGTTATCTTTTTTGGAGATGAAAAAGATTTGGGTGATATATAAGAGGGAAAGGATGAAGGTGGTGGGAAGAGGAACACGTGAGAATGAGTCAAACCTAATTTATTAATTCCACGTAAAGTAGTTTTGTTTTTCCGTATTCTTACGTGGAAAAGTGGCGGTCAAGTGGAGCCCACCGTGGAAAGTGGCGGCTTTTTGCTTTTGTCTCCAAACAAAAGGGAAGTATTAATAATAATAAAGTAATAACGTTCTTAATTTTGGTCCTGCTCTGCGACGTGTTTGGTTTCACGTCCGCCACACTTAATTTACGTCAAAAACGTGAAAATAAGAAGTAAAAATTTCTTACTTCTGCATTAACGTGATTTTTGAATGCGGATCCAGACACACACTTAATTCTCCTACGATATATAAAAGTATTTTGTTTAATTCTAAATTATATTTTGTACTAAGACATATGTTTTTCTTTAAAAAAAACTCATTTGGATACAAACAATTTTACTATTAATTTTGAAACAATATATTTTATATATCATTATAATTTATATTTACATTTTTAATAATATATTAATATATATGATATTTATTATCTAGATAAAAATAATTTTTATGTTATTAAACAATTTTATTATAATATATGAAAATTATATACCGTGAACTATTCAGAATATATAAATTATATAAGTCAATAAATTTAATATGTATGTTAGTTTTTGATTGAATGATTATAATATATATGTGCATCCACTATTTTCTGTGAAAACAATATAAGATTATAATCGATTGTTTGTACGACTAATTATGAGGTTAAGACTAACATTATTAATCGGAAGCTTTTCGGAGTTAAAATAATATTTATAAAAAATACGTTTGCCAACATTATTGTACATGTATGTAGGAGTTAAAATTGTATTTTTTTTTAAATAAAAAAGACTGTATTGATTGAATGAAGTTGATTTCTTAAATAAATTTTTAATATTTTACGATATATTAATTTTTAAAATTTAATTAATTAGAGATACTTGGTTTTCCCTA